TTAGTTGAATGAGTAGTTTAATCTACTCTCGAGTTAGATTAAAGCTAGGAGGGATGATGCTAATATGCTTCTTCCCATATCTGGAGTTACAGTATTACCATCACTGGTCTCATATGGAACTATATGTCATCACCTTATCAGAGGCTCAGTCACACATTTGGTAGTGTAGGAAAACAATTCTGTAAAACAGGCAACATAAACAACATAGCTAGCAGTGTTAGTAAGGTCGTAAGTAAAAATTTAAGAATTTCCATTAGGTGCAGCCCAGCCTGTCTCAGTTCATCTGACTTTGTCTGTCTGTTGTATACCAGCCCTTACCTTTTAGGGAAATTATATATCGGCATTGTCCGCAGGGCACCCAGCCCAGTTTCCTAGAGTTACTAGGTTGGTCAACCCTAGTATGGTGTCACAGTCCCCAACATAAGGGAGCCTTTAAGTTTAAATGACTGTACCTGGTGTTAACTTCCTGTTGCAGATCACGGAGTGTCCAATGTTCATCCAAAAACAGATTACTAAAAATTAAGCTTCAAAAAAAAACTTAAAAGGAAACATTGTAATAATTCAATTAAATTTGCAACAATTAACATAACAGCAAGGAACTATCTGGAAGTGAGTCTTAGTGAACACAGACCCTCAATAAATAAATTAGAATTTGATATCCACAGAAGTCTCTTTCTAAAATTACCCTCATTTTTATCACATATAGCCAAATCAAGATATCTTGATTTAAAATTAAGTCTGATTAATTGATTAAGATAGCCCCCTAGGCCAGAAAAGGCACACCATGGCCTTGTCACAGATTTAGGTGAATTCCTCCCTTTTTGAGGTCCGTAAAATACCTTGATTCCTGCACCAATTAGGAGGTGGCCTTCCTAATTTACCTGAGAAAGCTGCTGGGAACCTAAGAGTTTCCAATCTCTAGAGGAATTGGGTACAGAGAAAGAAGTGTTTCAATTCTGCTTACAAAGGTACAATTTAGAAAACTGCTGTTAAGTCATAATTAGTTTGTGGGAAGGGTTTTTTTTTTTTTTGGAAAACACATAGTAAAATCTAGTAATGTTTTGACAGACTTTAAATTTTGATATTTGGAAAGTTTGTCAAAAGGTTTCAAAACACTTGGTCAAATAAGAGCATACATCACTGTGAGATAATACTTCCTCCTTAACCAAAGTTACAGGAGATCTCAGAAGCAAATACACAGTGTGTGGAGGAGGGGAAGGGACGAGCTGCGGGAGCAGCACTGCCATGAGTCCAATAGCTGGCTAGCAGGAAGCGGCTATATGGCACGGGGGTGGGAGGGAGGGGCTGTGTGGATACAAACAGCAGAAACCAGCAAGGCTTTGTAAAGCAATTATCCTCCAATTAAAAATTTAAAAGTAAATACAAGGGGGAAGAAAGCAAATACAGATCCCTTACCAGGTGGTGCTCGTGGTAAAGAACTCACCTGCCAATGCAGGACCCGTATGAGATACAGGTGTGATCCCTGGAAAGATGCCCTTGGAGGAGGAAATGGCACCCCGCTTCAGTATTCTTTCCTGGAGCATCCCATGGACAGAGGAGCCTGGTAGGCTACAGTGCATGGAGTCGCAGAGAGTCGGACATGACTGAAGCAACTTAGCATGCAAAGGCACAAAAACTCACACAATCTGTTATCAAAAGCAGCATTCCAAGGAAACTTTGCCCTTTTAAGAGAGAAAACCAGTCTGTACCAACCTACTTTTAACAACAAAATTAACTTTACTTTAAACCTAGCCAATCCTGATGATGCACAAACCCTCTATTACTTTCTGTATCCATATTAGTTTGTCCTCCATTTTCTTCTTCATTGAGAAACAACCAGCTGTCAGAGTCTCTTTTCTTTTAATAAAATGCAATTCCATTCCTCATACCTCATTCACTGACAATACACATCCTCTTTTCCTACTGTATACTGAAATGCCACTTTTATTATTTCTATTAGCTTTAACTACACCTTTAGAGTGCTGAACTCTTTAAAAACCTTAATTTCTAGTGAAAACTAAGAGGCAAGCAATTAGGAATTATCTTTTACATTAGGATTCTGTAGATCAGTGAACATAAATGCTAGTGATAATTCCTAAAAACATTTGCTTTCTTACAGAGAACATGTCAGGATGATACCAAACATATTCATTAATCACCCCAAATACCTTCTCTGTTTATTAAGGTTAATAATGGATGTTTCAGTGTCTTATTTGGGGATGACTTAACTCTTCAAAAAATGTCCATCACTTAATTTAGAACAGTTCTAAATTTCAAGCAAATTTTCAAATATCTAGAAAGATTATCCTTAAGTAGACATTCCTACAATATAATTATTTCTAAGACATTCATCCAAAAGCTCTTATCTCGCATTTAACTGACTTATAAAATTTCATCATGCCATGTGACTTTCCTTGCTGACAAATTTGTAATAGATATAATAAGATCTTATAATACCTTGGTTTGCTGCTGCTAAGTTGCTTCAGTAGTGTTTGACTCTCTGCGACCCCAGACGGCAGCTCACCAGGCTCCTCTGTCCCTGGGATTCTCCAGGCAAGAACACTGGAGTGGGTTGCCATTTCCTTCTCCATACCTTGGTTTAATACAAGTCATATAACTTGATGACTCTAAAGTCATATGTATTTAAATTAACAAAGTTTAAAATCAGATATTAATCTAATACTAGTCCCCAGTTCACATGAACCTGAAATTAATTCTTGCCAATTCCTTTCTGTAGTTTTGAAAATTTATATAAGTGCTTAATTTTCTTAAGACAAGTAGAGCTCATTGATGAATTAATTTTGATAATACCATCCAAACGTAAGGAGATATATATATATATATATATATACACACACACACACAACCAGAGATCTCACAGATTCATTTTCTAAACTTAATCATGAATTGGGTATTCTAAAACTCACTAATTTATGAATAATAGTTGGAGTAAGTATAGTTTAAAAGGTTCCCCACCCACCCGCATCTATCTCAGGACCAAGGCCTTCAGGATCTGTTAAGGTACATGGTGAGAAAACCAAGTTCTCCTACAAGGAATTGTTATCTCAGGGTCAGAATTCTAAAAGATATTGTATCACGCTTGCCTTTTCTAACTGTATTTGCAAAAAGAACCAGTTTTGGAATTTCCAAGAGTTTCACCTAAATAGGTTTTCTCTGGAATCTAAAGAATATTCTGGCCACACAGTGTTACAATAAAATATCCTTCTCTTAATCACAGGCTTATAGCTAAAACCTTTTCAGTCAAGACAAATTCTCCCAAGGGGCCCTACAATGGAACAGAATCAGAATTTCCTATTTCAGAAGGCAGAATGGGCATCACAGATCACAACACAGAATGTAAAATATAAAACACATATAGGCCCGGCTGTCCTAATCAGACACTCCCTTAAATACAAGATTGAAGGTTCTCAGAAAACCTCCTACAGAGATGCAGAACTTCCAATTTGAGTTCTGACCAACAGGAACTAAGGGGTGGCCTTAGACGTCTCATGCCACCTGCAGACACCCAGATGTGACAGGACTTTCCCCCTGGGCTTACAGAAAGGGAGGACGGGAACTCAGCCCCACCAGGTACCAGATAACTCAAGGTCCCTGCCCACAGGAGGTGATCATGCTCCAGCCCTCAGATAACTGAGGCTCTTCCACTAGACTCCTGCATCCAGGACTAGAAGAATAGGATAGGAGGAAAGAGAGAGGGAAGGGAAAACAGGCCAGTGAAGTCTCTCGTTCCTTACCTGGTCAGGAAGCTCTGGCCAGTCGTCCACATCAGGAGGAGACCAGGGACATTTAAAGGGTCCCAGTGCTGGCTGCTGGGTTTGGTCCATCAGCAGGCAAGCTGATCCCTGAGGGTCCGGATGTCAGTCATAGCAAAGAAGAGATCCTATCAGTCAATTGTTGCAGGAAGAAGGACCCCTTCTAGGGCCTGAGACCGAAACCAACTGCCTTGGCCAGGAACATGATGACTGCTTGCCTCAGTTGTCTCACAACAGGAGGTCTCAATAAGGAACATGGTGTTGCCACTGAAAAATAACCAGAAGGATTCAGGAGGGGGGACCTGAAGGAGGAGAAGACCAACCTCCCAGAATCCTTCACTCTGGAATCCATCTTGGCTGAGAGATGCACACGCCACCAGGAAGGACCCAGAGTCAGACTATGCGCCAAGCAAAGTGATTGGCCAGAGACAACCCCAAAACTAACCCTATGACCAGAAAACCTGGGACTGCGAGCCACGTGGCAGAGCAGTTCTCCCGGGTCCCCTTACCCCGCTGCTCTCCAGCCGGGGTTGGGAGGTGTGGTCCTTCCCAATACGGTCTTCTGCTCTGTCAGCATGTGTGTCTCCTCTGACGATTCACTTCCAAGAGTTAGATAAGAGCCTACTATTGGGCCTTGGAAGGGGCCCTTCCTGCAACAGTGGGAGATTGGATGGAGGAGGGACTTGACCTTGATCCTGGTCTGTGTGTGATGGGCGCGCTGCAGGAGGCACAGAGGTAGGCTGGGCATCAGCCATCACCACTTAGGTGATGTGGGCTTGGATAGAGGTTGGGGTGTGGGGGTAGTGCCGAGAAGGTGGACTGAAGTTGATTTTGGAGACGAAGATGGAGACTCTCTAACAGATGTGGTGGGGGGTGATGGGGAAGAGGATTTTCTGACTTTTGACTTGCAGTGAGAGTAGTGTAGTGTAGTTGGGGGTGGGGGCTGGGGTAGGTTTGGGATGCCCATGTGACATCAAGTCCCACAGTCACGTTGGCAGTGGTGGGGTCGGCAGGGGGGCAAAGCTGAAGCCCCTCGGCATGGAGCTGATACTGAAAGCCATAGTGCTTGGTGGGCCCACCTGGGGGAAAGAGGAAGGCTGAGGACACGGGGCCAGGTACTGGAACACAGGCCGGAAGAGGAAGGGGGACTGCCCGCGGGAGGGGAGTCTGGCCCACCTGCAGTGCTGGGACTGCTCTTCTGCCTCATCGTTGTCTTCTGATCCTCAGGGTATGGAGCCACGGCCCATCTGGAAACGGGGGGGTTCATCCGGAGCCAGCCTGGGGTCCCCCATCCGGACATCCAGTTCCACTTCCTGCCGTCCCAGGTGATCGACCATGGGCGGGTCCCCCCGCAGCAGGAGGCTTACCAGGTGGGCAGGCGGTCTCCCCATCACAGCAGGGCCTTCGGGGTGGGGGGCTTCCAGCTGCTCAGCGTCTGGGGTGGGGGGGGTCAGAGGTAGAGTGAGACAGGCTGCATGGGGCACAGCAAAGCTCGGGCCGCTGGCTCTGGGTGCTGAGTACTAGAAATGGACAGAGAGGCCAGCTCTGCCCAGGGAATGCCAGCCCTGAACATTTCCAACAATCAGGTATAAAGCCAGGAAGCAGGAGTGATCAACTGAGGTGGCTTGATGCCTTGTGAGGGGCGGGGGGCAGGGGAGAGGTTAAGATGCAGGTAGATGCCAAAATGCATCTGCTCTTAATTGACTTTGGATGTCTAGTCCCACCTCACAGGAAACCAGGGCATATCTAAATGACTACCTTGGGGGTTGACCGGGGTCACCGCTTCCTCTGGGCTCTTCCAGGTGCATGTGGGGACCATGCGGGGCACAAGCGTGGGCTGGCTCAAACTGAGAAGTGCCAACCCCCACGACCACCCTGTGATCCAGCCCAACTACCTGTCAACAGGTAATTCCACTTTTGTTTCACCCAGACCTGAGCTTGTTGGGTCACTGATAGACTGAATGAATGAATGCCTTTGTGGGGTCCATATTTGCCCCAGAATCTTAGCCCTGGAGCCTACTTTTTGAGCCACGGTCACATTCTGTCCTCCATCCACCCCCTTATCCTGGGCTGTAAAGCTGCACTTGTGGCACTGCTGCGCCCTGGGTCACCGGAAGCGGCTCCAGGACAGCACTCGACACAGACTTGTAGCTTTCAGAACAGTCTACCAAGAGATACACGGAGCTCTGGCTCACAGAGCTCACAGAGCATTTTTCCTACTGTTCCTGGGAGCATCTTCTAAAAGCATGGACCTGTCTCTCTCTGCACAGCCAAAATGCCCCCCCTACCTGGCAGGTTTTGCCCAAAGATACTCACAGGGCATTCAGCCATGCTGTGGCAGAGGCAGGGCATGCAGTCTTCATCTCCATTTTGCAGATGAGAAATTCAAATCCCTGATTGAAATGAAGGTCCTCAGCCAGGCTGTGTCCATCTAGGAGGCTGTCTGGGCTCCATGGACTCTGCTAGGTTATGCTGTTGCTGCTGCTGGGTAGGTGACAGGTAGCCTGGTGGCTTGGACCTCCACGTCCTTGAACTGTGTCCCCTTGGGCAGCTTCTTGAGTCTCTCCAAGTGGAGAGTCTTCCAGCAGGGCCACCATGGTAAGAGGAAATATCTCACCTGTTTCTTCTCCTCAACAGAAACCGACATTAAAGACTTCCGTCTCTGTGTGAGGCTGACCCGAGAGATTTTTGCACAGAAAGCCCTGGCACCATTCCGGGGAAAGGAGCTCCAGCCGGGAAGCCATGTCCAGTCGGATGCAGAAATAGATGCCTTCGTGCGGGCGAAGGCAGACAGTGCCTACCACCCCTCGTGCACCTGCAAGATGGGCCAGCCCTCCGACCCCACGGCGGTGGTGGACCCACAGACCAGGGTGCTCGGGGTGGAAAACCTCAGGGTGGTCGACGCCTCCATCATGCCCAGCGTGGTCAGTGGCAACCTGAACGCCCCCACCATCATGATCGCAGAGAAGGCAGCCGACATGATCCAGGGGCGGCCGGCACTCTGGGACGAGGATGTCCCGGTCTATAAGCCCAGGACCCTGGCCACCCAGCGCTGAGGTCGGCCCTGCCCGCGAAGGCTCAGCACAGCCCTTGCTCCACATGGGCTCCCCTGAACCTGTCTAGAACGTTATAGTCCAGTGGCCGAGACTTGGATAATCTAAGAAATGAGACCAGTACTGCTCAGTGAACTGGCTTCTTTCTTACCAGCATGTCCTCACAGGCCTTCTGGGCCCCTTCTCCCCGCCTCCTGGCGGGACAGCAAAGGGGAAGGGAGGCTGGAGGAGAACAGGCAACTCCTGCCAGGCCCTTGTCTTGTGCCCCGCAGTGCTCTCCGGCCCAGGGTCCTGCCGCCTTCCAGGGTCCGGGTGGGGCCTTCCCAGGCTCTATCTGGAGGCAAGCTGGTCCAGGAGCAGGGAGCTTGCACAGAGCCCGGGGCATCCTCCCCGTCTGGCTGAAAGCTGCACCGGGGGCCTGGAGTGAGGGAGCGTGGAGCTCAGCTGGGCTGTGTGACAAGCCTCCAACATGCCTGGGCAGAGGGAGAGCTGCCTGCTGGAAGAAACAGGCTGCTGCTTTCTCTGCTGCTTCCTGACTTCACCCCCAGAGGGAGACAGGAACTGGTGTTCAGCTGGGTCCCTCCAAGGGGCTTGTAGCCCACCTCTAAGACGCTCTGGTTCTTACTAACACCATAGCATGAGGCCAGAATTCTGGACCTTGCTTCAGGACTCAGGAGTCTGCAGGGCCTCTTCACTACCTTGGGTTTTAGGATTTAGCATTTTTAAAGATCTTCCTGTTGCCAGGAAACCTAGAAACCCAGAGCAGACCTGTACCCCAGCCTGCTCTGCACAAAGCCTGGGGAGACAGGGACTGAGCAGTGGCCACGGCTGGCTAATTCTCATTCTCCAGATGTCCCCAGCAACAGACCAGGCGGGAGCCAGGCTGACGGATAAAGTAGTCAAATAGAGCTATGATCCTCATCCTGGGGGGAAAAAAAAACCACAATTGATTTAAAGACAAATGAATTGGTGAAGATTGGAGCTTGGGGGGAAGACAAAGTAACTTTTAAAACAGATCTCTGATCTTTAAACTTCTTCTAATTCAATAAGGCAACCCCATAACTTACTTTTGAACTGAGATGCATTATCCAGACTGTTGTTACAAGGTAATGAACATGTGGATACATTTTGGATTGATTTTTCTGACTATATCCAGAAGCCCCTGCCTGGCAGGAAGGAAGGGAACTCCCCTTTGGAAACCTGCCCCGCTGGACCCAGAATCAGAGGGAAGGAAGAAGGAACATTCCAGGCTTCACCGTAGATCACAAGGGATTGAAGTGCCTTGGAGGCCCCACAGTTGAGAAGGATTTCTACAAAGGTGGAAAGAAGAAAGCCATCTCACCGGCCTGCCTATAAAAATGTTTGAGTAAAATCTTAATTGATCTTACCTGTGTCTTTATTTTCTGTTCCAGCAGAGGGTCAAGAGAGAAAGTTCTGTCTGTCAAGAGACGTCTGTCTCCTAGCGAGGCCCCACCTGCCCACAGGCCTCCTCTGGGTCTGGGAGCCACCGGCAGGGGTGAAGGACAGCAGGACGGTGGGTGCCGATCCCCCACTTTGAGGGCCATGAAGTGACACCTCCTGGCCTGTACCTGAACTGACCTCCTCTGGGGTGGGCATGGCAGGTGACGTGGCATTCAGACCTGCATTCTCTGATGCCTTCGGCCTGTGGGACAGCAGCTGATAGGCTAGTGTGCATGTATAGGTGAGCAAAACCACGTGTATCAGCGGGGCCCGTACTCGGGCACCAAGGCCCCTCTCCCACTCATGGCATACCATCACACAATACTGCCGCACACAGGTACGTTTCAAAGGAGAAAAGCGGGAGTGTCATTTACCCAACAGGAAACTGCGTTGGGGTCCAGACCCCAGAATATTCTATCTGAGGCAGTTCCCCCCTCGAGCCCTAAGTGCTGGCTGGCTGGGCAGAGTGGAGCAGTGGCCCATGTCCTAACCACCACCTGTCTGAAGGGTCCAGTGCCACGAAGGAACCGTCGCTGTTGTCTGAGGAGGCCAGAGAGGGGAGGGAAGTGCTGACCGGAATCGGGGAGGGTGAGCCAGTCAGGCAGGCCCGAAGGGCATGCAGACCGGCCAGCACTCGGCCTCTAGAGGAACTGTGAAGACACCTGTTAAGCCCCTTAAGCAGAAAGCCTGCCGTGCCCCCCGAACAGGAGAACATACATTTCCCAGAACGGTTGACAAAGCCTAAGGGAAGCGGTGTATGTGCTGATGGGCAGGTCGCGGAACACAGACCCCACTGAAGAAGCCAAGGATTCCTCCTGGTGGAGTCAGAGCCAGACACTCAGCTAGAGCAGCGGCCTGCAGGTGACCAGGAAAGGGCGGGTCGCAGAAGTGGGACTCTGGCGCCTGGAAACACAGCCCTTGTGCAGGCTGCAGGAGTCTTCTCCATAAATTCAAATAGAGTCTCCTTAGTCAAACCATGTTCCTCCACCCAAAGGGCATGTCATATTTCCGCTGAACAACTTATCATCAGGTCAAATACCTAGGCACCTTTCTCTGCTGGTCCTGTCTTGAGACCCAGGCAGCCTCCCATGGCCTCTCCTGCCTCCATCCCCACAGGGCGCCCTCATGGCCACACTCACTCCTGTTTTCTGCTCGGAAGCAAGGGCCTCGGGCCCACCTCTCTCTCGGATCCCCAGTAAAGAAGGAATATCATTTTAGAGAAATAAAAGCTTTTTCCACAAATGAAGGCGTAGCTGGAGTCTTATTTCTGAGTCAGGAGAGGCTAATAAAGGAGCTTGGAACTCTGTGTGAAGCTAACAGCTTTCAGAACAAACTGACCACCATCCTAACAATAAAAACCTTTGCAGGAAAACAGGCAATGGGCAAAGACACTTAAGACTGTGAAGCATAAACAGCACAAAATAAACAGCTCTGGTTCCTCTCACAAGCGTGGCATCAACATAAAGCGGTCCATCAGACATGTTAAACACATCCTGTGCACCAAGAAGCTTCTAGGGCCTTCACAAGCTGCCCGTCCCCGCCACCAGTTGATTCTGAAATATTTCAGAGTCAGGCTGGGAGGTGCTATGTGGCCCAGCTGTCTGGATGGAAATTACAGAGACCACAGTTAACGAGGTTCCTGCTTGCCGTTTCCGTTTTGTGACATTATGGAAAACACATGATGAAAGAGACTATGTACTATTCCTGGGGTCAACCCCAAGATGACTACTTTCTTAGAGGATAGGAGGGGAACTAAAAAGGAGAGACATTTAAAGTTTCCTGAAAGAGAAGAAACCATGTTCTACAACTTGAAGTTTTTCTTAACAAAGACAAATTTAATGTCAGACGAGCAGTTGAACCAGGTGTAATGCAGGTGGATATTAGGAGTGGTGCAGTCTGTAAAAATGCCATTTAAGTGCTGACTAGCAAAGATCACTGACTATGCCAGGAAACTCGGTCCTGGTAGGACAGTTTTGGACTGACAGTGGGAAGCCACACAGTAAGACCAACACTCAGTGGAGAGATGGAGTCCAAAACGACGGTGACTGTGGGTTAGCCCTTTAGGAGAACGGTGCTGTCTGCAACTGGAATTAAGTTACTACTGGCACCAAAGGAGTCACGAGAACAAGAGAAAATCTACATCATTACAGCAGTGCCCTCACAGAGCACCTCCTCCTCCGGAGGCTGCCACTGGCAAGCACCAGCTCTGTGCAAGGAGAGCTCCCAAATACAATAAAATTATTACACAGCTTTATTCTGAAGATCATTTTGCATTTTAATAAAAAAGAATATTATGTCAGGAAATAGTCATTTACAAACCTTGAAGTGTTTTTGCCTGGATCTGGAGTAAGAATGTCTTTAAGAAGAGGTTTGTAAGGTCTTCATAACAAAGTGTTATTTACAAAAAAAAAAAAAACAAAAAATTAACAACAGGTCATGTATTCTTTAAAAATTTTGAACCAAAAACTGCTACTAGTCTTTTTGACCGCAGGGAATCCCTGCCACGGTAACTCGACAAAGTTGGCATGATTCTGTGAACAGAAAAGGAAGCCTTGATGGGTCTGATGATCCCAAAGGGGGTTTTCATCGAGAAGTACAATTGGAGTGAGAGTGCATTCTAGTGAAAACTTCAGCCCTCATTCAGTTGCATATAAAAGCCCTCAAAGAGAACACATAGTAGCAATGTTTTGTAAAAAGGCAGCGATACGATTTGTACAGACCCCGACATCTAGTCCTGTAAGAGCCGCCTTGCCTCCTCAGTTCCCCAGCCTCCAGCACTCTTTTATTTCCTCAGACACGCCACCTTACCAGTCCTGGGGGGACAACAGCAGAGAGACTTCATTCACCACTGCCATTATTTCTGCACCAGAAATGCCAGAATATCCTGTGGGGCAGCTGAGAAAACCATGACTGTGAATGAAAGCCACAGGGTCCGAGTAGCCAGCTCGACCTCCTCTGCCGTGAACTCGTCGGAGGGGTTATTAAAGGAAAACAAAAGACAGTTGCAACCCATGGTGGATCAAAAGTTACAATATCAAATCAGAGAACCCCTGCCCAAAGAAAAGACTGCAAATAGTCCTCTGGAATCTCTTGTGTAAAGATAGATTTATAGTGACTCAAAATATTTTAGAAAAATCTCTGTAGTGTCAAGTTCTTCTGAACTAAAGATTGTACCCCCAAAAGATTTTTCACTGAATAAATGAGAATTGGCTCTGTTTCTTCTATTATACTTCTGTATAGCCCAAGTAAAAATACTAATAGTTTCTAGATTTCAGTGGGGAACTACAGTTATTAGGACCCATGGATATTGCTGCATTTCAAATACGGTACAATAATTACAAAATATAGACCATCTCTTTACAAATACAAATTATAGTATATTACAAGTCATGTACAGTAAATCTATAATTTTTAAACAAACTAGCGTATCTAAGTTTACCTGGTTGCGAGTGCAGTATTATTCCAGTTTACAGTTGCCCTTAGCCTGACAGTCAGAAATCCGACTGTCGGAGCGACGCTCTCCTGCCTGTAAACTGGCATCACGTCACAGAAAACCCTGCTTACAGGGTCCTGCTTCCCCTCCCAGGATGACGGCTGGTAGGCTGGTCCTGACGTACACAGTGTATCTCAGAACAGCTCAACAGGAATCAGGAAGCAGTGTGGTTTTTTTTTTGGGGGGGGGGGAGGGTTTAAAAATGGATATGCTGGGCCCAGTGAATGTCTGATATGCTAGACCGATGGCTGAGGTAATGACACAGGTATGGTGATCGTCATCACCTTTAAACCTTTCCCACCCCGCGCCTGCGGGCGGCAGGTGAGCGCCGCAGACAAGCCAGCAGACAAGCCAGCAGGGCTCATCTGAACCGCCTTGCTGGTCCTCTCCAGGAGGGCTGGGTCGCCCACAAAGCTGGGGCACGGCTGTCCCCTGCCAGCAATATGGCTTCCTTGAGGCATGACATCACTTGTTACAAAATTCTAACTGCGAATAGGGACTCCACGCTAGTGCCTAAATTTTCCTAACTACGAGGCACTTTTCCCCCTGGCCCTCCGGCGCCCCACCTTGAGGCCAGAGCCCATCAGCGGCTCCCGGGGAGGGGCTACAGGGTGGTGATGCAAATCATTTCATCTGCCAGGTCCTCCTCGTCCCTCCCGGGGTCTGGCTCCTCGTCGCTGTAGCCAGGCCCGAAGTCCTGGAGCTCGTAGTCTTGCCGGAGTGAAACGGGGCCCACGTCTCCGTTGGCCCGGGGATGCACGTTCCCGTTCAGCAGGTTGCTGGCTGCACTCTCCATCTCGTCGATGGTTAAGTCACAGGCATCGGCGATTTCGTGTTTTGTCGCCGACACGAACTTTGGGTCCCTCGCATACCGTCCTAAGCCTTCAGATATCAGAACCTGTATAGAGAAAAGGATCAGTGGCATAGATGCAGAATGACAGAAAGACCACCTCAGGCACTGACTGCATGATGTGCTTTTGGGACCCAGCCAGTCATGTCATCAAGACTCCACTCAGGGTAACTAAGCCTGGAGGTAAATGGGAATCTAAAGAAGCTCAAACACTGCACATGGCCCAACAAGAGTGAAACCCATGGGGGACAAATGTTTCAGAATAAACAAGTCATATTTGTGGGACTAACATACAATCCTCGGTGCAGCCAGCTGATGAAACCCAGCAGGGGTGGTGTTTCTGTGGTTTAGTAGCTAAGTCATGTCTGACTCTTGCGACCCCATGGACTGCAGCATGCCAGTCCCTGGTGCCTGGCATGGTGTTTTTACACTTGTGCTTTAAGTAGCATCTTTGCTGCTAAGAAGTGGACGGTTGTCCAGGTTCAGAAGCAGGCATCCTGGCTCCGGAGCCCACCTGCCCTCAGGACCAACTCCCCGGTGCCACCGTCCCTCCCGAGCAGACTTCGCGGCCACACTCACTGCCTCCACCAGGCTGTCCGCGCTCCTCTGCTTGTCGCTGTTCTTGTTGTGGAAGCTGCTGGGGACGGTCAGGCTGGCTGGTGTGAACGTCCGATAGGAGACGCTGGGCTCGTCCGTGTACCACGAGCTGCGGTGCAGGGACGGCAGGCTGCCATTGACCTGGTCTGGGGCCTCCGGCCGCTCGACCTGGATCAGCGGGGTATAGCACGGCGTCCAGTCCCGATAGGACGGCGTGGCCGGCGGGGTGGCCCACGACCGGGTAGAGTGGCTTGGCGAGTACTTCTGGCCTCTACTGGAATCTAGGCCGGCGACTGCCATGATCTGAGGAGACAGAGGAAGCGGGGTGAGGTCCTCAGGGGTCCCGGCCTCGGGTACCCTCAGCACAGGCCAGGCTCAAGGCCCTGGTTTAGAGGGGCTTCAAAAGGATACAGCACTCTGAGTAACTCAATGAACTGGCTGTAAAAACTTGGCTGTCTAGCAGACTGTATTTTCTTTTGCCCCAGATCCATAATATATCTCCTGATCCCCAGGTGGGAATTAGTTATTCGTGAAATTGCTTAGAAGCATGAAGACGACACACAAGTAGTGGAGTACAAACACGCCACCTGGCTGACTCTGGGTTTGACTAGGGAAGTGCATTTAGGACAAGCTGACGGCGCCCAGCGCTCACAGAGAAATGGGTTGGTTCTCTCAGGCAACTCGTCTGTAGCCGGCACTCTGCTCAGAAGCACCACCGGGTACAAGCCTGCTTCTTCCACCTACAGCGGTGCCACGACAGGCCTGCCTGCATCCTCTGCGAGGGGCACAGGGGACAGTGAGGCCAGGTTTGTGAAAGGCACAGGCCTGTGGCCAAGTCAGAAGCCAGGACCATCCAAGGGAGGCACACACAAGTCTGCGGGGACCCCCATGCCTACTTGGTGTGTGGCATGTGATGCCTGGGGCCTTCCCAAAGTTTGTTCTCCATCCAGGACAGAGCAGGACACAGCAATTAATGTAAAAAAGGGAAGGCAAAAAGGGACAAGGTTGGCAGAAAGACCTGAAGAGAAACTCTGAAGCGGCAGCTAGTGTTTATGTGCTCCAGACACTGGGGGTCCCTTCCCTGGAGCTGCCCGGGGCAGGGGGCGGCTCACCTGTTGCTGCATCAGGTGCAGCGGCAGGGCCGTGCGGGGCGGGAAGGCGGGGGACGGCGGGATCTCCTCCTGGCTGCTCTGCCGGCGCAGGCACTCGAAGTTGAAGGAGGACCTGCGGTGGGCTGAGAAGTGAAGCACACAGGTGACTGTGAAACCAGCTGTCAGGCCCCGGGCTCTGGGGGTCTGAGCGGCCCACCTGGACGTCCGGCAGGGGGCCCCAGGAGGAAGCAAGCAAGGCATCCAGAGAAAAGCGCAAGGCATGGTGGTGGGGCTGGGGGCTGTCTCAGGACTTCAGGAGGAAAAAGCAGCCCGACTGAGGGGTGTCTCCAAAAAGAGCAAGTTAATGTCTCAGGCCCGACACATCTGTTCTCTCAGGAGGAGCCAGAGGGCCACGCTCTGACTCGAGGCCCTGGCCCTGCATGTGCCAGGGACACAGAGTCTCAGGTCAAGTACATGATGACCTCACTGGAGAACCCACAGATGCCTGCCGACTGCCTGTCCTCCTCTTCCTGAGTGTCTCTGGGGCTGGAGTGTCCTGTGGGTGCTCCCAGGCTGTGGTTACCCTTCTGCCTGCTACCTGCCCTAACAGCTCAACCAGATAACAGGCAGATCCCCTTGTGGGGCAGAGACCCAGCTTCCCTAGCCAGGAAGACAGAACACACAGAAAAGGACACCGTGAACTGTAAAGAATGTGGCTAGTTGTCCTTAATAGTCAACAGGCTTCCCAGGTGGCGCAGTGGTAAAGAATCTGCCTGCCAATGCAGGAGACACGAGTTCGATCCCTGGGTCAGGAAGATCCCCTGGAGAAGGAAATGTGAACCCACTCCAGTATTCTTGCCTGGGAAATCCCATGGACAGAGGAGCCTGGTGGGCTACAGTCCATGGGGTCGCACAGAGTCAGACATGACTGAGCACCTATGCACGTCCTGTTAGCAGCCACTCCAAACAGAAGCTTCTAGACGAGGTGAGCGATGACAAGGTGATCCAGGCTCGAGGCTCCCCAGGGTGCCAGGCCCAGGAGATATCTAAGTTCTGGGCCCCCCTGCATAGGCCAGAGGGCTCCCCAGGACACTTCTCCTTACCGGTGGCCTGCAAGGCAGAACCGAGTCACCTCAACTTTCCTTTCTGGAACTCTGCTTTCTAAGCTCATGGGGCATTTATCCTGCCCCAGCACAACTCTACACACCCCTGACTCTTGCACTGGAAAACTCCAGGGACCAGCCTGGGGAGCCCCCGCGGGCTCCCTCCTCCTGGGAGGCACATGAAGCTGCAGAGGCCGCTTGCTGGGGGCCTGGCTCCAAAAGTGCATGGAGACCAGAGAGAGCCCATGCCAGCCACTGCTCAATGGGGCAGGAGACCCACGACAGCCAACCTGTCTCAAAGGCCCAGTGTTCACCATGCAGCCTGCTGGGCCTCCTGGTCTAGCTGCTTCTGGGGGACACAGACACCTGCCCTCCACTCCAGACGGCCTTCCTCCCACATGCTGCCCGGGGCCAAACTCAAGTGTTCTAAGAGAAGGACAGGCTTCCCAGGTTAGCACCACGTCTAGCTCGCTCCTGGGTCAGGTGGTGGGACGAGAGGCTCAAGCAAAGGAAAACTACCACCGCCATTATTCAGAGAGCGCTTTTCAGTTTTGAAAATGGATCTATCTATGCCTGTCATCTTATTTGCTCTGCACAACCAGCTCTAATGCAGGGAGCAACCCTTCTGGAGCTGAACACATAGGTGTTCCATTGTCTCCCCGCCCGAGATCTGAATACATGGGCAGGAGAGCAAATCCAGTGCATTTCACCTATTCACGCTTACATATAAAGAGGGCAGCCAGTTGCCCACTCAGGGTCCTTGATTCACAGAAGCAGCACCTGTGAACGGTGGAGACGATCATGACCACCCAAGGGAGAAAAGGTGGTCACAGGAGGGCAATGGAACCCACAGGGCCCGGGGCTCAGCCCTGCCTGCACAGGCGTCATCCAGGACTGACGGAGCCCAGCACTGCTCTGCTCAGCAGCTTGTGTTTGGGGTTGTGAAATTAAATATTAACCACGGATATGGGTCTGGCTGCACGCGCCCGCAGGGCGGTGACAGCTGGAGAGAGGCAGGCCTGGGCACCACCCAACTGTACTTGTTACTATGCACGTAGACGGCAGACTCAGAGCCAATGCGTCTCATTTATTTCTGGTGACTGAATAGACTCCTACCCCAAAATACACCTCCTTCCTCAGCCAAGCCTGATGCGGATATTCTTTAACCATCATCAAAATGTCCACATGTCCAAAATCAAGCTGCCCAGCTGGGAGACGGCAGGAGCCGCTGCTTCATCTCTTTCCCCAGCCCACGGTCCTCACCGGGGGTAACCCAGCTCCCTTGACAGTACCGGTGATGCCACGTGTACCCGAAAACCAGCCGGCCCCTGCCACTTCTCTCCGGGATGGGATTCCCTGGCCCGGGGATGGGAGTGCCCACCCTAGCGGTCACTACTTAGGCCACAGCAGGGGCACTGGCAGACCAAGGCAAAGGTTGGGGGGGAAGAGGGCAGGGAGGTGAGACAGGAGGAGGCATGGGCAGCACAAACGCTCAGGTGCCCTCAGAGGCCTGGGCCTGGGTAGGAGGCCTGGGTACAAGTCTACTCAGCAGGCGGATCCATCCTCCGCCCTTGCAGGGCCCGTGACCCATCTGGGGAGTGAGCCTGTCAACACCATGGTGCAGGACTTGCCTACCCATCAGGGCAGACCCCAAGCTCAAAGGCAACGATGACGCGCCCAGAAAGCCCCTCATCAAGTGCTACAAACTGCAACCAAGGGGCCACACTGCCTTCTCTGTTCTCAGCGCTGGAGCACTTCCACGTGGGTGAGGAAGAAAAACCAACAGCCTCTCCACCCGGGGGGCTGGTGTTGAGGACTGAAGGCCTCTGACCATGTCTGGCCCACCCCCCAGGCTGGGGCAGGCGGACACACACACTACCCTCTGCGAGCCTGGATCCCAAACAAAAAATCTGGCCTCACATGTAGGGGTGGGAGGTAGTAGGCGTCTCCTCGGAGACCTCCGGGAATCGTAGCCAACGGGCGAGTCATCATCCTCTGAGAAGCTTTGGGGGTGATGGTAGCCTCGAGGCCGCTCGAAGTCCAAACTGCTGCCTGGGTATCGGTTATAGTAGCCGCAGCTGTAGCTTTGCCTGGTGGCCGAGAAGGCCAGGAGAGAGAGCAGGGGGCACGTGAGAACCCAGTTAACAAGCCCACGTCCATAGTCCGCTCCCACCTCCTTGGACACACCAGGACCAGCTGAGAACGCAGCCCTCGGTTCCACAGAAGATTCTAGACAGAGGACAAGGGCTGCTACAGGAACGCTCAGGAGGGCAGGTCTGTGAGGAGCAAGGCGCCGATGCTTTCCCTCCCTGAGCGGTCTCAGTCCCGGTTCAGATGTGGACTGCAATGCCTTGTAGGCTGGACTAGCCCCATTTCTCCCAGAGAACCCTCTCCCGAGGAGCTGCCTGTGGCTAGGTGGTGGTGGGAGGGGGGCGCCTGGGAAAAGAAAACACATGAAGCACATTCCCCACTCTCAGAGAGGAGAGCCAATACCCTGTGCACACAGAACTCTAATGCAGGCTAGAGAAGGTTAGCGCTGGAAGACAGGGCTCGGGGTGGGCCGTGAGCTCTAGGGGTGGGGGTCCTTTCAGTTCCAGTTGGGAGAGGGAGCAGCAGGCTCTTGCAGGGGGTGGTGTCAGGCCAGCGGAGGTGGGGAAGAGCATCCAAGGCATGGTCATGCTCCAAGCCACGGCCCTGAAGTAGGAAACTGAGAATGCAGTTGGCTCAGGACCAGTGGTTCCCGAGGTCAGGCATCCCGAGGCCCACGGGGGGACAGGGTGGAGAGCTGGCGGAGGGAGGGTCTGGCTGTGGCCAGCCTGGAGCACAAGGCTGGCATTTAACACCATCCCAGAGGTCAGAAGGGACCTTGCTGCACAAACACGTCCACTTTGATGGGCCCCATTCATGGTGAGATGCAGTCCACGGGGAAGAGGTGGATGGCCTTTGTGCGCCTGTACCACCTGCTATCCACACGTGTCCTACAGCAAATGCCCACTTTCCCCCACCCACGCCTTCTTCAGGACAGAAGCCCAGGAGGCTCATCTGCTGAGTGATGCCCCTCTGACCTCTCATCCCCTCACCTCCAGGAGAGACGCCCCCTTGATGGGAGCGAGAAGCAGAGCTGTTCGTGAAACCCAACCCAAGCTCTGGGCTGATGAGTCCCAGCCCAGAGCTCTCAGCCTTCAGCAAGGCTCTCATTTCTGGCACGTTCACTAAAGTCTCACAGGCTCCTGGTGGAAACCGGCCTCCACTCCACCACTCTCCGGCCTGGGGACCGTGCCCCTGCTGCCAGGACAGTGCCCGGGGCGATGGGCCCTTACCTGCTCCCGGTGGGCGAGCTATCATCCTCATAGCACTCCTCACTGCTGAAATACTCCTGCTCCCCCGGGCAGCGGGGGTCCCTGAAGTAGCCGTGTATCTCCGGGTCCTCCCGGCAAATCGTCGGGAACTGCTCATCTCCCGAGTCAGACCTGCAGTGGGGAGACAGGGGCTGAGCAGCCGGGCAGATAGTGGCAGCTCCTCTGGCCGTGCCTCGCGGTGGCCAGAGCATCCCTGTCCGGGGAGTGCTCCTGCCTCGGGAGTCTGGACTCTGCTGCTGCCTCTGGCAGTGGGGTGTGTCTGTGTGTGTGTGTCTGTGTCTGTGTGTGTGTGTCTGTGTGTGTGGACTCTGCTGCTGCCTCTGGCAGTGGTGGGGTATGTGTGTGCGTGCGTGTGGCTAGGTGTGCGCACGCCTGTGTGGAGGGGTGTGTGTGTGTGTGTTGTGGGTGGAGGTGTGGGGGGAGTGTGTGTAGACTGTGTGTGTCCAGGGTGTGGGGGGTGTATGCGTGTTGTGGGCGGGGTGTGGGGGGTGTATGCGTGTTGTGGGCGGGGGTGTGGGGGGTGTATGCGTGTTGTGGGCGGGGGTGTGGGGGGTGTATGCGTGTTGTGGGCGGGGGTGTGGGGGGTGTATGCGTGTTGTGGGCGGGGGTGTGGGGGGTGTATGCGTGTTGTGGGCGGGGGTGTGGGGGGTGTATGCGTGTTGTGGGCGGGGGTGTGGGGGGTGTATGCGTGTTGTGGGCGGGGGTGTGGGGGGTGAATGCGTGTTGTGGGCGGGGGTGTGGGGGGTGTATGCGTGTTGTGGGCGGGGGTGTGGGGGGTGTATGCGTGTTGTGGGTGGGGGTGTGGGGGGTGTATGCGTGTTGTGGAGGTGTGTGGTGAGTGTATGTGTATACACATATATACCAGAACGGGTTTCTCTCTCGGTGCCTTGCTGATGCTAGCACCAAACCACTACCCTCAGAGGCCTGCCTGGGAACCAACAGAAGAGATGCAGTTTGGGAAAGGAACAAGAGAACAGGCCTGGAGACCTGGAGCGACGGGCTCCCAGGCTGCCTGCTTGGGTCCCTGGGAGGCAGAGGCACCAGGCCCAGGGTGATGTCAGAGCCTGGAGCTCCTGACCCAGGAAGGCCGACAGGAGCTTTATGTCCTGTGTCCCAGGGAGAGAGACTCTCCTGGACAACACTCGTTGCATTTTCCAAAGACGGCCCTGCCCCAGGACTGTCATGTGATGACGCCCTGAAACCCAGAGGTCCTGGCCTCGGCCCTCAGCACAGGCAGCCAGGTGCTGAGCTGTCGCCGCTCTCCAAACAGAAGACCATGGGTCCTCCAAGCTCTCCACTCTCTCCCACCCTCCTCCAGCCCCAGTGACTTCCCCCTTGATGATCGGTAAAGCAGGAGGTGGCTCGCCCCCACCCTGAACACAGTGACCAGCCCACCCACAAGCCCACTGGGCCCCACACACAGGGAGCAGGGTCCTCTGCACGTAGGCCGGGAGAGGTCACGCTTTCACAAAGCCCCCACAGAGCAGAACGACTGCCCAGCTCCACAGGCCTGCTCCCCCAGCACCGCGCTGAGGCCTGTGGGGCCACAGCTGTGGGCACGTGGCAAGGGAATGTGGGCCCCTGGACGGTAACCCAGTCTCTGCAGATCCGGATCTGAAGCTCTGCCATCCACAGCCCGGGGCCAGACCACTACACTATGGCAAGCTGGCTCCCAGGGCACGGTCACCTCCCAGCACTGGAGAGGCCCTCTGGTCCCACCGGGAACACACAGCATTTAACACATAAACACAAGCAACAAGCACATACCTAATGTAAGTTTCATAATAGCGGGTTCTATCCAGGAAAGGCATAACATGGGAGGGAGGGAGAAAATAAAAGTTAAAATATTTCCAGCAAACTTTACACAAAGGATTTATCAAGTTACTCCCCAGAGCCGGACTCAGCAAACTGTGGTTCCCAGGCCAAATACAGGCCATCATCTGTTTCTCTATGACCCACAAGCTAGACTTTTTAAAGGACTGGCGTGCTGCAGTCCATGGGGTTGCAAAGAGTCAGACACGACCGAGCGACTGAACTGAACGGAAAGGACTGAAACAAAATCAAAGGAAGAAAAGTAGTTCATTGCATGTGACTATATGAAGCTGGCATTTTACTGTCCACAAAGAAAGCTTTATCAGGACGCGGCTGCATACATGTGTCCCCGTACTATCCATGGCAGCCTTCTTGCTAAGACAGCATAGGTGAGCAGTCACAGTAGAGACTGCGTGTGCTCCAACTCTAAAACGTTAGCACTGCAGACTATTCCAGGAAACTTGAACTTAAAACATGACAGCCTGCTTAAAAATTTACATATGTATAAGAAGTCTTAACATTGCAGGGTTTTGATTTCGTTGCAAATCAATGAAATGGTTTTACAAGATGTTTTACATCTAGTATCAAACATTGACAACTTCAGGTTAACCCTGAGGGCTATCAGACTGTGGGCCAAATGCCACAACATCTACTCCAATATATTAGGTTTCCTCAGTGGTATCTCCTGGGATGTGCTCGTAGCAGGAACTTGCCAGCTTTGTCCAAATGTGATAGCATCAACTCTTGTACATAAATTTTTCTTGGTATTTTCTAAATGATATGTGTTTAGACTATATTAAAATAAAGTTGATTATAGACACAGAGAAAATAAAACGTTTACGCTCTGGCCCATTACAGAACAAGTTTGCCAACCACTGTCCCTGAGACTGTGGGACAGGTGGGGAAGGCCGAGTTTGCAGATGCTGTGTTAAGGGGCAGGCTGCAGGCTGGCCTGTGGCCCTTTATCCTTTGGGACCATCATGTGGCCCGTGCTGGAAGAAGCTGGGACCTGAGGGCACTCACAGGTGCTCGTGGAAATGCCCACAGGGAATCCCCCGCCTCTGCTGGAGGGGGAGTGAGCAAGACCCGCCGGGGGCCGACGCTACGTTACCAAGTGCAAACCCGTTTGAAATGTTACCTTTTAATACTGCACCTTCTGTGAGGCTCACGGCCATGCTTGTGGAAGGAATGATGCCCGTTTTCAGACACAAGCTCAAGGTTCCCAATGCTGGGCCGCTTTCCTGGGGCAGCTTTGCACATATTGGCATTATTGAGATTGGCATTTGTTGAGCTGGGAACTTGCTTTCCTATGGAATTATGGTTATGATGGTTATGACACACCGAATTTCCTGCTGGAGGAAACAGCGGTTTCTCAGTATCACTTGCAGGTGGAACTGAAGGCCTTTGGACATGCAGGGGACGGTGGGTGGTATTGGTCTGCTGAAGGGAATCTCTCCTATCACTATTAACATGATTGACATGGTTTCCAAGCAGGGCACCATTTCTCTGCAAAATAATGGGAGACAACACCAGGTAATTTAACAAGTATTTGATGCAGGCTAGCTATGTTAGGTCATTCTTTTTTTCTACATGAAAAACAAATTCTAGGTAAGCTCCGTAGGATCCCTGGAAAACGATCTGAGTGTCTCAGTGATCGGGGTGCCTGTGTGAGTAGCTGCTGGTCCCCCTGAAATGAGGAATGTTACCGATTCCTGAGCTGGGGAGCAAGCACGTGGCTGTCACTCGAGGGGGCTCTTCCAGTTGCTCCGAGGTAAGCGGACTTTCGCCCAGCGGGGCTGTTGGTGGCCCCAGCAGCTGAGGCCGGGCCGCAGGCATGTCTCTGGGCCAGGGGCTAGGAAGCAGAGGGCCGGCTGGCAGACCAAAGAGCCAGCCCGGTGGGGAGAGAGCAGGTAGGGAGGGCCGGCAGCTGCTAGAAGGACCCGGGATGCTCATCCACACCAGCCAGTGGTTGTGGCCACGCTCCTCCGAAGTGGCCAGTGTGCGGCAGAGGAGCAAGCTCAGAGGAGGAGCAGGCCTGGCCCTGGAAGGGGTGCTGGGGAATGGGGAGGGTCTGCTGTGGGGGGAAAGGCAGGGTCCATAAGCCCCTCTAGGCCTGGGGGCTGCTGTGCGTCCTCCAGGCTCTCTTGCAGATCGTTAACTGCCCCAACTGGACTCCTGCCCTGCTATTTCCAAGTGGCCAGTGTGTAGCTAGGCGTGGAATAATTACTTTGAACACATCTTCTTCTTCTTCTCGTTTTGTTTCCTCAGGCTCATCATCTTGCAAATCGCATGATATAGCACGCCGGATTTCTGGCCCAATGTCGTGCAGTGTCCTTAATCCCGCCTAGATCAATGAGAACGGCAAAACCAGTTAGACGACACGGGTGGCCGGGGCAGGGGAGAGGGTGGGGGGCAGCCTGGGTCCTGGCTGTGCTCCTGCCTGAGTCAGTCGTGGGAAAGGAAGGTTTCTCCAGAGGACAGTCCAGGGGACTGACCACTTGTCTTAATGCACCTGATGGTGTCCCTGTGGGCTCAGGGATGTAGGTTGTGGTCAGGAGTTCAAGATGGCCCGGGCTGGGGTGCATGAGGCCAGTGACTTTCTTTCCAAACACCTCCACTAGCAGGGAACAGGGCCTGGTAACCAAGACTAGGGTCTGCCATGGCCAAGAACCCAGGCCCAGGTCTAAATGACAGTCCATGGAAGCATGGCGCCCAGACCTCAGGTGGGGCGAGGGGCAGAGCCTGGCTGTTCTCCAGAGTGGGTGGCAAGGGCTCGTTGACTGTGCCCTGGATGAGGGAGTCGAGTGCAGGGGCCAGAGGGCAAGCAGGCCAAGCAGCGTCCAGGCCAGTGGTTCTGCTTCAAAGCCACGGGGCGAGGGAGTGACACGCCATGCCACAGCCACCAGCTCACTCAGGACCACGACACAGTGGACAGACACGCACGGACCTGGGCCGCTGTGCAGGGCCGGCTTCCGCGGCCCTGTGGGCACCCTGGCCTGCAGCCTGTGCTCAGGCCGGGAACTGGCCGATGCTTGGGTCATCCTCTTGAAGACCACGAGACACTGAAAGGGGCTCCAGCCTCTGGAGGTGGTCTAAAACCAACCAGGTGAGCCCTTCAGGCCCCTCACAGACATTCTGCATTTCGCCAGGGCCCTCGCTGCCAGCCTGCCTCACCCTGGGCCCCAGGTTCCCTGAGGACAGGGCCTGGGAAAAGGCCTCCCATTGTACCTAACTGCATTAGGGAAACATTCAAGATGCTTACAGACTATTATGTTTTCACCAAAGACTTGGAGAAAACTGGCAAGCTTAATAGGGACAGTACAGTTACTCAATCCCTCGCCACAAAAGCACTGGCATCTCAGAGAGGCATCTCCTCCCCACCCCGGGTCTAAGGTCGCCCATCCTGTACCCAGGGAGCCCCCCTTAAGGTGCTGGCAGTCTGTCTGCGCCTCAGTGGCCACTAAAGGTGTGGAGGACATCTGGGGTCTGGCTGTGTGGGTCTCCATCTGCAGCGAATGCTCCCCAGTGTGAGGGCAGTCTGCAGAGAAGGGGAGCCCTGCCCTGTCCTTCTTCCACACGCCCTGGCAGTGGGCGGTGTAGGGCATACACAAGCGTCAGGACCACCACTGAGACACGCCTGGTAGCGGAGGGGGTGGGGTGGGCGTCAGAGAGGATGGTGGCCGCAGTCTTGCCAGATGCGGCAGGGCTGAGCCCCTCGTGCGGGAATGCTCAGATGGGTCTCCTGCAGACACCAGTGGGGCAGGGGGATGTTCATTTAGAACAAAAAGGCGTATGGAACCTCCCAAGAGGCTCCCGTGAAAATGGCCTTGTTCATAGCAGCCCTTGGCCTAGGAGAGGATCTTTTCAAAGATGGTGCACCAACCAGGCTGGGTCTGGTTCGAACCATTCTTTCAACATACGAGCAGCAGACTTTTCCATTTTATGAACCACGGGGGTGAAATTGTGGCCTGGAGTCAAATCTTTAAGGTTCCCAGCTAGGAATGCTGTGGTCTCACAGGAGAATGACAAAGGTGTCACAGATCCAAACCCAGAACACTCCGTGGTGTGGTCAGTAAGACTGCCCCTCACTCACCTGTCCCTCTGATCACAGGCACAAGACATACATGCTCACACGTGCCCACGTGTACACATACAGGCACACACATGCACACACACATATACACTCTCCCAGGACCCACGCTTCCAGCACACCTGAGCCTGGGAAATCATTTCTCTTAGAGGCACACCCATACCATTCTCAGGGGAACATCAAGAAGGCAACTCTAATGCCAAGTGGGTGAAAGCTCTTTCACAGCAGAGCTGCAGGCCTGGGCAGCAAGGGCGAGCCCAGCAGTACTGAACAGCCTGCAAGTCAGTCAGGCAGTGTTCTCTAGGGCACAATTATCATGGGATGATACATTAAACCAGGGTTTCACCATCTGATTCTGGTTCACTGGGAAGAAATAGCTGTTACCCACTCTGAGTCTCCCAAATAAGATGCCAGGTTTGAGACACCCACTGCCATTGCACAAAACGCGCACAGGTGACAAGGCACCGGCTATACACCAGGTAAATCATGCACCGTAATCCGCACCCCAAGGCACCGAGGGCTGGGAACACTGTTTAAATAACAACAGAGAATCCTACTCACTGTCATTCAACTGATTGGACTAGGTCTGATTAGAAGAAATAGAAAACTATTTATTTGGATAATTTTTAACATCATCCTCTGTTGACGGGTTGACATTTCACTGAAATACACATATGACATAATTGCATAATAAAAACAAAAGCTGTCTCCAGCATGTCTTCAATGATACACAGGATTAGGAGAGAGCAGTGAACAGACACAGGACAGAGAATCTGCTTCCAACATAAATCATGGAGAAAATTGAGAGGTGGCCCAGGAGGCCTCTTCCAAAGACAAATAAAGACAACATGTTTATTAAACAGACATCAAAGGAGGAGAGAACGCAGCACTCTTCCCAGACAGGAAAGCAGAGGCTCAGAAATCATGATTATAGTTCGCTTGCTCCACGGAGGAAGAAACACACCTTCCCAGAGTCAGGGATTGACTTCACTCTTTCACAGGGGGTCTAAGGAAGGATGGGTGGGAGTAGGGTGCGAGGGGAGGTACTACAGAGGGTAGGGGTATCTGCCAGGGTTTGGAATGAGGGAAACACATGTTCCCAAACTTGAAGCGAAGCTTAAGCACAGCACCCTGAATTTATTACATATCACAAAACATGATAATGAAAAAATTTCTAGCACACATATCAAGCTAAAAGGTAGCTTAGGCTGCTCCAAAAATTCCATAGGCACAAGTTCCAATTCCCAAAGTGCAGAAATCTATCTTAAACCCTTGATAACTTTTTTTTTCCACAGCCCTTAAAAAAAGAACATTTTTTTTTCTTGAAATGAAACACTTTACAATCAGGAAAATTAACTATTCTTTCATATGTCATGTTTGTGTCTACCTCTATCAGCAAAATACTATTTTAATTTGAAATGTGGCCATTAGCATTTAAACCAACACAAAGCCATATAAAGTCATTCCAGTAACATCACAGAATTATGGTTTTGAATAAACACAGAACTGCTGCTATAAAATAGAAACATTATTGATTTAAGATGTCCAATCATATAAAATATTAAACAGAATCAAGCCTAGTTTCTGGTTGATTTTTAAATGCTAGATGTTCTCATATTTTTAAAAAAAAAAAAAGAAAGAAATGTTGGCATTTTGCCTGTAGACCGCTGCTTTCAAATTTAGACACCATTTAATTGGAATTTTATAGATATTTACTCTAATGAATAAGTCCAAAAAAACACCCCCAAACTATAAAATCTCTCTAAATATTTCTGAAACAATTGCATTATGTTATGGTGTTCTAACCTTGAATAGGAACATTCATATACCTTCTTTTCGCTCACCTACCTTCAGGTGTAAGTTTTTCCTACCTGGTGTGTTAGAAAAGCTCTCACTGCTCGTCTCCCTAAGCTAGCATCATCACACACACCGGTGGTCTGCCAGCTCTCAGCACACAGAAACGCCCAGCACCCCCCTGAACCTACACTGTAACAGTGCAGATAAGAGATGTGGGTCTCCAGGCGGGACTGAGCCAGCCCATTCATCCTCGGGTGCGAGTGCCAGGCTTCCAGGCTCCAGCCAAAGAGCCCTTGCTGGCAGAGGAGAGCCTGGTCTCTCACTCAGCCAGGCTGGCCCTGCCCGGTCATCTCCTTCAAGGCGCGTTCTGGTTGACCCTTTAGCCGGATTCTGCCCCTCCCCAGTCAGAAGGGATCATTTTAGACTAGCTCCCTCAGCAGAAAAGAACTGGAGATTCAGTGCTCTCAGAACACACCTGCTCATCCACAAGTCGTCCTCCGCCTCCCCCGCCTCTCCACATGCACACTCATCACACACAGGCACACCCTTTCTTTTGTCATTGCTCTCCGCCTCAGAGTGTCCTTTGCGTCTGTTATCAACATTATGAACAGTCCTCGAGTTATATGTAAACATCAGGGGCTAGCATCATGAGCCTGGCACCCCTGTGAGTCATGCAGAGTGATTCCAACCCTCACTGCAAAGTCAGACATAAGGTTACCATGTAAGTTACCCCCAGGGGGGACACTTCGCTGAATACAGCGTGTCTGTTACCTTCACTTCAAAACATAAAGGAAACTTTAAATAAATTACCCAAAGTGACCTATCACATTTCCCTGCAAGCCATCTGACAGAGCTCTCTGTTTAGTTCCACCTTGCTTCTTGTAGTCTTAACACCAGAAATGGGGAGATGCTTGCCAGTTTCCTGAAAACAGAGAGTTTTACTTAAAATGGGGGCTTAGCAGAAGTCACCAATCACGACTCCTATTCTGCTAGCATCTTTGCCGAGTGCTATCACACACTTTATCCCACTACATCCTGGGAGGAAGGGTGTGGGAGGGGGGCCAGGATTATTCCCACAGGGTTAAGTGACCTGCCCACACTAGTCAAGGCTCAGCTAGCAGTCCTGATGCTCAAGCCTCCAGCGACACCATGCCAACCCCTCTGTACTGGGTCTAAGAAGAAGAATGCTGGGATAAAGCCGCGATCACATGCCCACTCACGACTGTGACCACATACGACTGTGGCTGCCGCCCAATCACGGTGTGACCTCTCTTCCCACTAACCCAGCTGTGCTCTCGTATCACAGCTATGACAGACGATCACTCGGTGCCATGAAAACTATCCTCAGCACACAGTCTCATCTCCGCCATGCCACCCTCAGGAGCTGAGATCCTTACAATCACTTCACTCTCACACACAAATTCAGGCCAGATCTGCACAGGCAGTGAGACCTGGCA